GTTCTTCACCACCTTTGCTAATGCACCCCCTTTGTCCTCAGCGATCAAGTTGGGGCAGGCTGGTGTGCTTCTTCCATGTGGGTTTTGTCATCTCTCTGCTAGATGAAGGCAGTAAATCTTTACTGGAGTAAACAACCCAATCTTTCTCCCTGAGCGGCTGGTGGGTTTTAAACATGGACCTTTTCGTTAGCAGCCCACCCCTTGCCAGCGGTTCCACCAGCAGGTCGCTCCCTACCTTTATTCCTGTCATGTGTTATTGTTTTCATGTATTTTAACTCTATAGGCCACACTTATCAACGACCTCATCGGACATTTTGCATTTATGACAATCATAAAAAAAATCTACATAAATCTCCTTAAAGCCAGGGAAGGTTCCCATGGTGTGAGTGAGAGCCTGTCCTCTTCTGGAGCCCCGTGTCCTCAGCTCCTTCCCTCCCTTCTCCCTTCCTTAATCTTTAGATGCAAATAAAGGTCAATGAGAACAACAACAGTTATGAGCCTGGTCTCAGGGACCTTGGGGCATTAACTTCTAGGCCTGCAAATGGTGGCTACCATCTGAGCAAATGAAACGACACGAGACCAAACACCCAAAATCACACCCGCCGTCATCAAGTTACGCTCCACTCACAGGGTAGGACAGAGTGGAACGACCCCTGTGAGCTTTGAAGCTGAAAACCATCCCCCCCATCTGAGTAAAGCTGCACCTTCGGGTTTGAGAACCTGGCCGAGAGGTCTAGTCAGAATGTGCAGCGTCACTTCCCCTGTAGCTCCCGGATCTGACTCTTCAGAGACAGGTGGCAGCAGGCTCAGTGGGGTGTGCTTTCGTAAGCGGAGGACTTGGTAGAGTGTGTTTGCCCTTATTTCTGTGCTTGTAACCACGGGTATGGAAAACAAACCCTATTTTGAGAGAGATCTCCATTGTTCTGAGATAGAAGTGTTTTCAAGCACATGTTCTCCAGGCCAATTAATATACCTACTGTCCCCCATCCCCACCCCACTAGCCCTCCATTAAGGAGCAGTGGACAGGAGCGACCACAGAAGATGAATCATTCCTGCATCTGGCTAGTTACTATGCCTGAAGGTTACCTTCAGAGCAATCAAGTCCTACAGCCAAACCCCCTTTAAATGTAGCAACCCCCTGGGGAGGGCTCAGTGGTGTGGTATTGGAGGTTAACTAGCACTAGGTCAAGATGGTGACTCACCTCCTTGCTTGTTTACTATGTTACCCGCTGATGATATTACCTGTTGACTATGTATGTGTTAGCTGTGTGATGTGCGTGCCTTATGAAAGATCTGGAAGCCCCGTTATGGATACCCATTGGAAGATACACTCACTCTCTCAGTCCTGACATAGAGACCAGGAGCCCCTGTGCTCCACTCTGTCTATTACTTTCCATAGTTGTAAAGTCACTCCTGAGGGCCCCTTCGAGTGTGGGGACCCCTGTACCCCCACAGGGCCATTTCCATGGAGAGCAGGAACTCTGTGAGCTAGGTAGGAAAGCCCGTCCTGGCTCCAAGCCCTGCTGCAGACAGCTCTGCCTGTGCTTTGGGAAGGCAGGCGCAGACCCAGCTGCTCCAGGCCTGGAAGAAGGGAGGTCAGGGTCAGAGCTGGGAGAACGTGGCTGAGTGGGAGGGGGCAGCTCCCAGCTGCTCATTTCGCCTCAGAACTGACTCCTAGACAGAGAGCAGCTTTGGCCACTGATGTTTCTCTGAATGAAGATTTTCTGCACAACAATCTGGGCTTTGAAATCTAAGCAAGCCCGTGAGTGAGGAATGGGTGTACTGATTTTCCTTTTTCCATCCTATACTTCATTATTAGTATTGTTTAACCAGGCAGACATTTTGCTTGTCCTTGATTTACCATATACTGGTTTATCTTGGGATCTGTGAGGGCTTCACTGGCCAGTATGTGGAGGATCACCAGGCCTCTCTCTCTAGTCTGTTTCAGTTGCCCTGGAAGGACCACTGAAAGTTGTCCACCATCCGGGACCCTGCCAGTATTTGAAATGCTAGTGGTATTGTTCCCAGTATTCTAGCAACAAACCACTGTAGTATGAAATGACGGATGAGTGGTGACATATTGCTATGAAAATTATATACATGTAAACTATGTAATACGGCAAACACTGTTACAACCAAATACAAGAGAAAATTTTCATATAATCACAAGCATGCTAATAAAATCTACGCCTAGAACAAAGTCTAGAACAGTGCTGTCTAATAAAACTTTCTGTGATAATTAAAATGTAAGCACTGGGCTGCTAACTCTGAAGTCAGAGGTTCAAACCCACCAGCCCCTCCTCAGAAGAAAGACGAGGCTGTCTGTTCCCTCCAGATTTGCAGCCCTGGAAGCCCTATATTGCATCCCCAGAGGTAGGAGTGGACTCAATGGCAGTGGGCTTTTTGGGGGTTTGGTTTAAATATCTAGATGGTCCAATATGGTGGTATGGGAACCACTTAACCACATGCAGTTAGGAAGCCTTTGGAATGTGTTACTAAGGAATTACAATGTTTATGTAACATTAATTTTGATTTCAACAACCATGTATGGTAGTGGCCATCATGCTGAGCGGCACGGGTCTCACATGGTACAATCGCCATGCTGTGCAGGGGAGGAGCGGGGCTTTCGGTGATCCTCTCTCCTTCCACTCGTCTGTTCCAAAGGTTCTCTTATGTGCCAGTATCATGTCTTATTTCTTATGTTTAACAGTTTCATTAGCACTTCATCCACTGTCTTACAATTCAGTAACCGAGTCAGATCAAGAAGACAAGCAGAGCCACCACCACACTCAGTTCCAGACAGTTGCTTCTTCCTCATACTCACTGTTATTTATGTAACTTTTGTTTTTAATCATTTTATTGGGGGCTCGTACAACTCTTATCACCATCCATCCATCCATCCATGGTGTCAAGCACATTTGTACATTTGTTGTCGTCATCATTCTCAAAACACTTTCTTTCTACTTGAGCCCTTGGTATCAGCTCCTCATTTCACCCCCTCCCTCTCTGCCCACCTTTTCTCTAATTGTGGCAAAAAATATACCCAGCAAAACATTCTCCAATTCCACAACTTCTACATGTATAGCTCAGTGCCACGGACTATATTTTCTGTGTTTTATGACCATTATTATATTCTTTTCCAAATTATCTCACCACCAGCAACAAAATCTCAATGCAACTCAGCCACAACTCTTTCTCCTTCCCCCATTGGCTACGCTTTATGTCTTTCTTTCTTCATTCTTTCTAGTAGTAGTTTTCTGATATAGTATTCACACGTCATACACTTCCAGAGTTAAATCACTTGTAAAAAGAGTTGTATATATACATCATCACAATCAGTTCTAATGCTCCCTCCCCACTCCCACATTCATCGTTTGCTGCCCCAATCCTCTCACCCTCCCCATCCTCCACGTCCCTGATAAACCATTAAATCAGTTACGGTCTCTATACATCTACTCCTTCTGTGCTTCACAAACTGAGAACCCAACAGAAATAATTAAAAAGCAAAATGACAAGGAGAAAATAATAATACTACAAAGATGAAAATACAAATAAAGAATAAAAAAGAAAAGACCACCAACAATCTTTTAAAGGCTGGAGAAGAAATGTCTGTCGTGGAACAAGTGAGAAATATTTGAGCCTAGGGAAAAATATGGTTGCATCAAGGAGGTCAATTGACCGAGTACCATGTTATACCAGGGCTCAATCCACTGTAATCAGGTTGACAATGATCTCTGTCTGAGAGTAAAGCGGTTTGAGTCCCTTGCCTGTGGCCAGAGGGGGTCTGCCAGAGGCTTCCTCTGACCAGACAGTCTGTCGATGGATTTGGGGCTCCCACTGCCCTCCATAGTCTCCTACTCAATGATCACATTTAAAGTAGAAGGTTTTAAGCACGCCCCCCCCCCAACCTGACTATAGGACAGGGGAGAGCTGCCCCCAGGGCCACTCTTTACGGAAGCAGGCTGCCACGAGGCGGAAGCAGCCAACTGGGAAGCAACTGGACCACCAGGGTCCCTTTTCAGCAACATACACTCTCAGGAAACATTTATAAAATGGACGGTTATAAAGGAGACGAAGGAAAGAGCAAGCCTGAAAATGGACAAGCGCGTTACCTTTCCACACGCTACCCTCGAGTCACAGCAGACGATGGGCAGGGTGTTGGTTTCCACTTGAAAGTCGAACGTGTTCTGCATGCGGGGCCTCTTCTCGGGCGTGTCCACGGAGAGTTGATAAGAAATCGTTTTCAAATGCTTTGAATCTGAGGGGAAAGGAGTCACATGAAAGCGCACACATGCTCTCAGTTCTCCAAAGCTGCCTTCCTAAATTCAAGTTTCCAACTCCGACCAGCAGTAAAAGCATATCTGCCCTCCCTATCTTTGCAATAGCTCTGATTGGTAGAGGAGGAGCCTGATACACAGAAAGATTGAAAAAATCGGACAGCGTTCAGAGAGAGGAGCAAGCCCATCGGTCCAGAGCCCTTTACTCTAAGATGCTATACTATAACTGTCATGGCTAGCAGTACTGGCTGACCCAATATGAGGAGAAACGAAGCAGTTTGATTTTCGAAAGACTGCTCATTCCCAAGCTTGAAAACAACATGGAATATGTAAATAAAACAAGAAATTATGAAGCTGGAAGCTCTTTGCAGTTAAAAGTGCTCTCAAGTTTGGGTGCGCTGTAGTTCCTGAAGTCTGGAGGACCCTGATGCAGTGGTTGATGCGTTGAGCTGCTAACTGCAAGGTCAGCAGTTCAAAACCAGCAGCTGCTGTGTGGGAGAAGGGTGAGGCTTTCTAGTCTCAAAAACTCACAAGCGCGGTTCTGTATTCAAAATCTGTCATATAGGGCCACCGAATCAGCATCCACTCAATGGCACGGTGAGAAAAGTGCTCCACAGATGTTGCTAGTTTTATTTCAATAGATGAGCTTAAGGAGATGCAGCCTCTTCTGCTGGGAGGTGCCATTCACTCGCTTCCAAACCACCGCAAGCCCAGGCAAAACAGAACGGGCTGCACGGCCCTGCGCCGGCCTCACCCCGTTCCTACACTCTTGAGCCGCTTGCTGCGTCCACTGGGCTAGTCCGTCTCCCTGAGGGCCTCCCTCCTTTTCGCTGCCCCTCTACTTTACCAAGCATGGCGAAGGCTAGCAACTACAAAGACGAGTGGCACGGTGGACATACCACCTTTCCTGAGCTTTTTGGTTGGTGCAGGTGTGACTGTAACTTAGAAACGAAATTTTAGTACTGTCAATAAGCACCAATGTGAGCTATTGCTCAGACATCTCAGCGTTCTGCTATTCCACAGCCGAGGTACAAAATCCAGGTGGGTGAACTCACCATCCTCCAAGAAACTCGACTCATCGTTGGTGGTCGCTGTGTAACGTCTGGCCAGTTGTCGCTCTTGCCTTCTACAAAGTCAAAATGTATCATCTGTAAGTCTGAAGTGTATTTGAAGCTTAAACTAGGACACTACACACGTTTAACTGTTTAAATGGCATCTCATTACTTTTGTTATTATTTATGAATCTACTCTGTTTAAGCATGTAGGTCCCCACTCTGTTTAGTGGATACATGACTCATATTTAGGAGTTCTAAATTATCCTGAGAGTTTGAGATCGTTAAATTTCTACTATGGAGTCCTGGTTGCACAGTGGTTAAGCGCTCCGCTGCCAACCCCAAAGGTCAGCAGATCAAACCCACCAGCTGCTCTGAGGGAGAAGGATGAAGCCATCTGCTTCCAACAGATGCTCTAAAAACCAAACTCATGGCCATCGAGTCATTGCCGACTCACAGCGCCCCCTGGGGGTCTTGGAGGCTGTCACTGTTGACGGGAGTAGAAAGCGCAGTCTTTCTCCAGAGGAGCTGCTTGGGGTTTTGAACTGCCGATTATACAGATGCAGCCCAAGCCATCACTACTACCCCACCCAGGGAAGTTCTACTCTGTCCTATAGGGTTACTATGGGTTGCAATTCCCTCCACACAGTAACAGCAATAAATCTGGTGGAGCATTTAGTCTTGCTAAAAGACAGGCGATTTCTAAACCCTTGAGATGCCATCCGGGACTGAGGGTGGGACTGAGGGTGGGAGGTAGCCATACTATGGTTTTTAAGGTGGGGATGGACCACATCAGAAACTCTAACCATGGCTTGCAGCCATTTCTGCAATGGCTTTGAGGGTGGGGGCTTTGGGTCCCACAGCCTCCGTCAAGTTCTGAAAGGGCTGGAGGCTGAGATGATTCATGGCGAATCAGTCATGCTTATGCGATAGCGCCCCAGTGGATACTCTACACTGAGGCTAAGGTGAGGGTCCCTGGTTGACAGTGTTCGTGGTGTATTGTGTTTGTCGGTATCATGCATGGAATGCTGTCCATGGCTGGGGAGCAGGGGAGTTAGGTGAATCTCTGTACTCCCTCCCTTTCTTGGACTCTGCCAGAAGAGCCCTGGTGTTGTGGTTACGAATTGGGTTGCTAACGGCAAGGTCAGCAGTTTGGAACCACTAGCTGCTTCATGAGGAAAAGAGGAGGTTTTCTACTCCCGTGAAGTTACATTCTCGGAAAGGCACGTGGAGGTCTACCCTGTCCTACGGGGTCATGTGAGTTAGAAAGCGGTGCGCTTTGACTTGGACTCTGTCCCTCCTTTGGTTGATTTTTACTTGTAATCATGACAGCTTTTACAAATCATTTTATTGGGGGCTCATACAGCTCTTATCACCATCCATCCATCCATTGCATCAAGCGCATTTGTACATTTGTTGCCATCATCATCTTCAAAACGTTTTCCTTCTACTTGAGCCCTTGGTATCGGCTCATCCCCCCCCCCCTTCTCCCAGCCTGCCTCCCTCATGAACCTTTGATAATTTATAAATTAATATTATATTTTCGTGTTTTACACTGACCAATGTCTCCCTTCAGCTACTTTTCTGTTATCCGTCCCCTTGGGAAGGGGTTATATTTATGTAGATCATTGGGATCGGTTTCCCCTTCCCCCTCTACCTTCCCCTTCCCCTCCTGGTATCGCTACTCTCATTATGGGTCCTGAGGACCCTATCTGTCCTGGATTCCCTGTTTCCGGTTATCCGTATCAGTGTACATCCTCTGGTCTAACCGACTTGAAAGGTAGAATTGGGATCATGATAGCTGGCGGGTGGGATGGGGTGGGGTAAGCATTTAAGAACTAGAGGAAAGCTGTATGTTTCATCGTTTACTGCACCCTGACTGGCTCGTCTCCTCCCAGAGACCCTTTTGTAAAGGGATGTCCAGTTGCCTACAGATGGGCTTTGAGCCTCCACTCCGCACTCCTTCATTGACACTGACAACCCTGCCAGCTTTCACGGAGTCCTGTGAGTGCCAGCCAGCTATCAAAATTAAATGTGGCTTTGAACGCCTCCCAACCCCTATGGGTGTTGGAAGTGAAAGTGGTCATGTGTGGTCGACCGTGGTCCCTCTTAACGGTGCAGTTGCCTAACAGCCCACTACTTTAAATCAGTGGGTCTCCAATTTCAGATGGCATGACATGCACCAGGAATTGTAATACGTTTGCCTCACTGGCAACAAAGCCTTAAAATTATGTATTTGGGGGGGATGGGGAGGGGAAGGAAGGCTCAGTTTACAAAATGCTTTCCAAGGAAGGGAGCCAATCTCAGTTTTCATATCAAAGGCTCGATGTTACCTCCGCAGAGCTTTTTCCTTTGCTTTGAGCCTGTCATCTGCGCTGCCATAAGCCTCATGTGGTTGGATGCTGATTAACTCACTACACGGGCTTTGTTGTGCTTCGTCAGAGACAGCCTCGACTATCTTTTGGAATTGAGGACAACAGGAGTCCTGAAAAAGAAGAGAGGCTTATGTTTCGCTGCGAGGCTGAGGGGCAGGTGCTTCGAGGGAAGAAGAAGACTGGCCAGAGGGCGGGGACAGAAAGGCAAGGGTTAAGAAAGAACTCTAAGTTGCTTAATGAAGTTGGAGTTCAGATAGCAATCTTATCAAGTTTTTTTCTTTTTGGTACACAATTTTATTGAGATATAATTCGCCTTTCGTACACTTTAACCATTGTACCAAAGGGTACAATGTAGTGGTTTGGAATATATTCAGAGTTGTCCAGCCGTCAACAGGATTAAATGTAGAGCACTTTCCTTACCTTGAAATGAAACCCCATACATGTTAACAGTCATTCACCCCGGACAATCCCTAATTTACTTTACATATCTATGGATTTGCCGATTGTGAATACTTAATAGTAATGGAATTAAACATCCCAGTCGCAGTTACTGGCTTTTCTCGGGGTGATGTTTTCAAAGTTCACTCATATTGTAGACTCCATCAGTACTTATTTTCTTTCTGTAGCCAAATAATCTTCCAATGGAGGGATATACTCTACTTTGGCCATTTATCAACAATAAACCCTTGGGCTGCTTCTGTTTTTGGACTATCATGTCCTACTCTCTGGATTTCCCAGAGTGGAGGTCTACGTTAACTCTATGGTTAACCTTTTCAGGACTCACAGGCTGTGGTGCAAAGTGACTGCACCATTTTCTACTCACGCCCAGCAGCATACGAGCATCCGATTTTCCACCCTTGTCTTTTTGTATAGTTGGCACGTCAGTTATATGAAGAAGGGCTGCACAGTCATCACCGTAATCAACTTGGGAACCTTTTCTTCCCTCTTGTGCCCATTGCTGCTGACCCCCCCTTTCCATGCTCCCAGGTCAATTAAGTCCAGTTACAGTCTTTATAGATCCACCCACCCTGACTTCCTTATACAGCAAAACATCCAAAACAAAGACACCCCCCCCAAACAAACAAACAAACAGATCCCACACACAAAAGGACACTGCAACAATGACTAAATTATTCCTGGTTATGGTTGGCAGGGAGTCACTGGAGACTCAGCCTGCACAGGGATACGTGGACTGTTGGACTGGGGGCTTACACTATCATCCATACCATTCTATAAAGTGAGTGTTTAGAATTGAGGAGCTGGTACCATTTCCTCCTGCGGGTTTGGATTTTATTGTTTAAAATCCTTGGATCACACAGGTTGGTGTGCCTCCCTCTTCTGTTTAGACTTAGCTGGCTCCTCACTGGCATAGCCTAGTGAGATGAGCCTTTAAGACCCCAGACACTATTTCCTTTGGTCAGCAGTCACTATTGATTGTTTTTTTTTTTTATGGTAACAGCTATATTAGTGGGTGCATTGTCGTTTTGGTTTACATTTCTCTGATGGATCACACACAATTAAAACAAAACAATGTTTTTTTTATTATGTATTGGATGGCAATGTAGGAGAAAGGGGCCAGAGGAAAGATGATGTGGTCCGTGCACACTTCAAAATACTACTACTGTCAGGATCAATAATGAGAGTAGTGAGACCAGGAGCATAAGGGGACGGTGAGGGGGGGAAGAAAGGAGGAACCAATCACAATGATCTACATATGACCCCCTCCCAAGGGAAGGACAACAGAAAAGTAGGTGAAGGGGGACACTGGTCAGTGTAAGGCATGAAAAAATAATAATTTATAAATTGCCAAGGGTTCGTGGGGGAGAGAGAGTGGGGGCGAAATGAGCTGATCCCAAGGGCTCAAGTAGAAAGAAAATGTTTTGAACGTGATGATGGCAACTTATGTACAAATGCGCTTGACACATGGATATGTGTATGGATTGTGATAAGCGCTATACGAGCCCCCCCAGTAAAATGATTAAAAAAACACCAAAATAATACTACTGCCTTAGTATACTTGCTCTAGAACTTACACGTTTGACTTCGGCATTAGTGTATTCAGAGGAAAGATCCATACTGGAAAGAAAGGTTTTCAGATCGCTCCCACAAAATTCACACGTCGGCCACTCGTCGTCTTCTTCCTTTAGGAAGGGGGGGAAAAGACGAAGTGCAGACAACTGACACGGAGGCCCCGAAGCTCTGGCAGCAGCAGGAGGCCTCCACGCTTGCTTGGGACTCCCTGTCAGCCACCCGGGGCGGCTTCCTGAAATACGTGGTGGGGAACTTTCAGGGTGACAGCACTTGTGCTCACAGATTGGTGTGGACCTGGAAGACGGAGCCGGCATTTAGAGTGCCTCGGCTTGAAGGCAGTCCACTAGAGCAGAGCTGGGCTCATCAGGGCTGGGCCTTGGGCTGTCACCCCAAATAGGAAGCCAGCTACAGAAATCACTGCACTGCCGATAGCTGCGTCTCTGGTGAGTCTGCATGTGTAACATAGTGAGAGAGGAGATAGCCGTAGCTGAGTTCATGTTGGTCTTTGATGAAAAGAAACTCTTTCAAGGAGCGTCAGGAAAGCAAAAAAACCCTTGCAGTACTGTGTGGCCAGTGTTTACAAGTTACCCAGTTTTCTAAAATCCACCAGCCACATCTCGAGAGAGACCCAAGGCAGGGCTCCGAATTCCCTGTCTGGACTGTGCAAGGTCATGGAGAGTCAGAATAGACTTGAGGATGGTGGGCTTCCCCTGTCTCTTGAAGGCACTCATTTGTGGGATTTCTAACTAACCAGGTATGTTCACGACCGATGGGGGAAATCATCAGGTGGCTTTTTAAGTATGTGACTGAGGGGGGAAAAAAAAGACTATGGTTTAAAAATCACCTCGAGGTTAATGCTTAAAGTGGAAACCTCTGGTTTGTACGCCAGAATGGTTGGTGGCCCAATGCTGGGTAATGTTCTCAGAGAAGGCTGAAACAATTTGATGAAGTGGTCTTTAAACTGGAAAAGAAAAAAGAGATGGACAAATGGAAGATTACACCATTTTAATCATGAAAGCAGTCTATTACTAATGGGTTTGAAAACACTTCTTACCTCCATCTCACATAAAATCTTTAATTTGGGGTCTTCTGCACGAAACCACCATTTTTCTGAAGAGAAGGGACAGATGTATAAGTAAAGGTTAAAATGTGTTTGTTACATTTGGAGATTCCCA